AAATATAAAAAAAAAGAAAACATAAATAAATAAATAAATAAAATAAAATTTACAGGTGAGACACTGAGAATAAAAGTAATGCCACTACTAAATCATAAAAAAAATAAATAATCCTTATAGGTGTTACAAAAGCCCCCATGTACCACTTGGACTACTTTCCAATAAACATATTGCCAGCTAAAAACTATTGGCTTATCTAGTTCTTTTATGTTGTATGAATTCTGATTTCTACATCTATGTAATATTTACCCCAACATTGTAAGAGTGATCTAACAACACTAAATGAATTCATAAAATGCACAAACCACTAAGTCTAATAATAAAAGAATTAATAATTGATATACAAGGGGAGGAGGCTACAATGATGTACCTGGTAATACGCTAGAGTTAGAGGCATCAGTCAGAACTCAGGTTTAGCTTTATATCGTTACAATGGTGGCGCAGTGGTTAAGAGCTACGGCGAGCTATGGCTGCTAACCAAAAGCTCGGCAGTTCAAATCCACCAGCCGGTCCTTGGAAACCCTGTGGAGGAGTTCTACTCTGTCCTATAGGGTTGCTATGTGTCAGAATCGATTCAATGGCAACAGGTTAGTTAAAATGATAACATCCAGAAATATTTTATAGATAAGTGTATATACACGGGTTAATATATACATATATATTTCTTTCCTGTGTCAGCTGACAGGGCCTAAAACTCCCAACACTCCAACAACAATGAGCACACCTATCACTCAGATCTTGGTTTCTAATCCCATTTTCCAGGGTTCCATGGAGAAATGGCTGATTCTAGAACTGAGGCAGGAAATATACAACATGAGTCTAGAGCATCTTGCAGTGCCAGAAAAGTAAGGAAGGGCTAAAACAACAACAAAAATATTGATTGGTACACTAATTTGCTACTAATTGGGCCCCTGGGGGTGGGAAGAGACAACAACTGTGTGAGTCACTGGGTTTAAATTAAAAATAATAAAAATAACAATACAAAATTAAAAAAAAACAACCCCTGTCTCAAACAAACCTGGGAAAAACCAGCCTACCCACCGCTGCAAGATCACAGGGGTACAGGGTATAGGGGTCAACTGTCCAATATGGTAGCCACTAGCCGCATGTGGCTACTGAGCACTTGAAAAGTGGCTACTGTGGCTGAGCCACTAATTTTTATTTTACTTAATTTCTATTAAAATTTAAGTAGCCACTTGTGGTAGTGGCTACTGTACTGGACACTACAGCTCTAAAGTACTCAATCCTGAAAGTACATTAAACTCACCTGGAAACACAGGTGCCCAGGCCCCACCCCAGATCAACTAAATCAGAATCTTTGAAAGTGAGAATCAGGCGTTAGTATTTTTTAAAACTCCCTAAGTGATTCTAATGTGCAGCTAAGATTAAGAACCACCTTCTAGAATCAGATCCAGATTTGAAGCTTGGTTTTTTGGCTTACTAAGTGTAACTGCATTCGAGTTGTGGTGTTGGTGATGAATACCAAATTTACTGTGGACTGCCAGAAGAACAAACAAATCAGTCTTAGAAGAAATACAGCCAGAATGCTCCTTAGAAGGAAAGATGAAGGGCTCACTTACTTTAGACATGTCATCAAGAAAGACCATCGCTAGTAAAGGGCATCATGATTGGTAAAGTAGAGGGTCAGTGAAAACAAGGGAAACTCTCAATGAGATGGACTGACACAATAGCCACAACAATAACTCAAACATACCAACAATCATGAAGATGGCACAGGGCCAGGAAATATTTCATTTTGTTTGACATAAGGTTGCCATGAGTCAGAACTGATTTGATGGCAACTGACAACAACCACCAACCTAAAAACAACAACCAATGTATTACCTTGGCCAAGTTAATTAAACACTCTAAGCCTCAGTTTCCTCATCTATAAGTATGAAAAATAACAGAACTACCTCATAAGGTCCTTATGTGAAAGTTAAACGAAATATGTCAATGAATGTATATAACATTCTGACAAAGAAGTTATATACAGCTATAAAGGGTAGTGATTATTAGTTTTATTCCAGGATAATTTTGTTGCTATTTACAAGTAGGGAGAAGTCACAGTTTGAAAAAGCAAAACATCCTCTTAATGGTGTATCCGAGATGTTTAATAAATATTCATCAATGATGAAGAAAACATCTCAAAGTTGGCTAGCCTTCAGGAAACCATTTAGACAATGAAGGTTATTATGGACCAAGTTTTCCAAGGGAAATTATCTCATTGGAACAATTATCGAAAGCCCCTCTAAAATGCTAAAACACAGGGTTAATTCTGCAAATTTGTGAAGAGCAATCCTTGTAATTGTAGGAACAGAAAGGAAAATTCAGACTTTTCATCACTCATCCCTCCCAGTAGGTGGTGCCCCAGAAAGAATTATAGCTACAGACATAGAACATAGAAGAATGCTCCATGTGCAGCTAGGGGGTTAGCTACGAAACACGGAAGGAATGAGAATATTTTCTTTCCTTTCACTGTCTTAGAAAGTCTCACTGATTAATTCACCCTCATATTATAAAAGATTTATTAGAAATATTTATGTGATCTCAGGATCTAAAATAATGCATAAGTGGCCTGACACCTGCAAAGCATCTTGCACACCATCAACTCTCATGAGCACTCCTACTACCCAGATTTTAACCTCTAATTCCTTGGAAGAGAGCTGATTTCATTTCTTAGGTCAGGGAAAATTCAGGACAAAGATGCTTTCAAGAATGTCGGAAGTAACGCTAAAAGGCCGAGGTAGCTCCCAACGGCTAAGATGTGACAATTAAATGTCAATTATGATTGCATCATCTTCATAAATGTAAATAGCTGAAATAAGCCGAGCTTGTATAAGGCTCTGAGACCATCGACATTTCTTTCATGAACTTTGTAACATACATTTTCTGGTTTCCATGTCAGTGGAGAATTAAGCTACTATTCAGGGAGTCATAGACTCTTTGGTCCCTTACTTCCCTA